GTCATCTCCCCTAATCGCCACCGCCGGTGCTCTGCTGCCGCCGCTGTTCTCGCCGTCGCCGCCGCCATTGCTGCCGATGCCGCTGCTTCTCCATACACCTCCACAGACGGAGGGGGGTGTCCCCCACCCTACTAAGGGTGGGTACCCATTTATCTACTCGCCGATAGATAGTTACTTGGCTTTCGAACCGCTGGGTGGGCGGGAGCTAGGACTAAGGGTCGAGAGCTCACCTCGACCACGGTGGGACTCGAACAGGTGCTCGAGTAGATGTTAAATGCAGGTGTTATACTCCCTGCGCCACCGCTCCATGTTTGGCACAGACAAAGAAATCTCATTCAATGACCATCCTAGAACACAAATGTAACACGCAACCCAGAAGGGGGGGGGGAATTAAGGATGTATTCCAAATTACAGACCTTCTACTTATTTTGTAGTCACTTCCTTTCCTTTAGGACAGGCAGGGTGTTTCTGCGCCCTAGGCGAGGCTGCCTTGTGGCGCAGATGCCAACCTCGTGGTGGGGCCTGAAGACCTGGAGACCTCTGGAGCCAGCCACCCTTTTGCTGCCGCCACCACCGCCTCTTCCCCCCGCCACCTCCGCCACCAAAGGGGGGGAGGAGGGGGGAGGCACAGCTTGGCGCCCTATCCAGGATCCGGCACTCTAGGCGAATGCCTAGTTCGCCTAGTGGGTGAGCCGGCCCTGAGGACAGGGGTCCCCAATCCACCAGCACCTTTTACGGTGCCCCCCAAGTGCTTTTAGAAAGCAGGCGGAGCTAGATGGAGCTTTTGCCCAACAGGGCTTCTGATTGGCTGTGGAGATTAAAAGGCATCCTGTTTCTGGCAGATCACCAGAGAGAGGGCAGGAAGGGTGGGGTCAGTGCTTAGTTCTCCTGGCCCTTTCTTACACACCCGGGGAAATGCCGATCGCCACTTTGGGGTCAGGAAGGCATTTTTCTCCAGGCCAGTTTGGCTGGAGATCTTGGAGTTTTTTTTTTTTTCATCTTCTGGGCCGGGAACAGGGTGTTTGGGGGGAGGTATTTGTGAATTTCCTGCATTGTGCAGGGGGTTGGACTCGATGACCCTGGAGGTCCCTTCCAACTCTATGTTAAACAAAATTTCTGCCTAAAATGCTGAAGAGTTACTATTAGAGTCATACATAACCCCGATCCATGACATTTTGTGGTTGCCTCCCCCTCCTGCAGCAGCCATGTTGTGATTGGCTCCACCTACCGTGGCAGCCATTTTGTGATCGTGCCCACTGCCCTGCGTCAGAATTCCGAAGGTGCCCGCAGGGTCAAAAACATTGGGGATCTCTCCCCTAGGAAGCACTGAAAAATCGTAGGTGTGGAAAGGGCACTACAGAGTTCTAAGACAATCCTCGGCGACCACACTCAACTACATTTCCCAGGATTCCTCGGGGGAAGCCTGCTGGGTTTAACTGGTATCAGTCCAACGTTGGTTTGTCGTGTAGATATACCCCATAAGCTTGGGCAACGGCTGAAGATCTTTCTGCTTAATATGTAACAATTGTGTGAGTCCATGCAATCTCCAGCTGGAAAGGAATAGGGCAAATTCCGGTAACGTAGGGCAGATTCCAGTAATGCACGTGTGTTCTTATGCCACAAGTCTCACATGTTCAGAGCATCGTGCACAAATAGTTCCCAAGGTCCCGAGGCCTTCCGTTCACCTTTGGCGGCACTTTCAGTCTCGGAAGGATTCAGCCCGCCTGCGGAAAACGGGCTGTCCTATCGAAGCGCCAACGAGGGCGGGTCACATGCTCAAGGGGAAAACGTAGTTCCGGGGAAAGAAGCCGCTCTTCCCCCCCAACTTTCCCTTCCACCAGTTGGCATCGGAACAATCCAGGATCTCTATGATGTCCCCTCTGAGGAAGCCCAGCTGGGTTGGGTCTTGGGCCAGGAAGTTGAACTGGGCTTGAACAAACTTGGATTTCTTGGGCTGCGTGGAAGAAGAGAGAGAGGATGTCAGAGAAGGAACGGCCTGTTCTGGCGAGCGGCTTTTCTCTCCCCCGGAATGCTTCTGCATGGGGCGTGTGGTCCTACCTGCTCCCAGCCCGCCTGCGGCGTCTCTGCACCCCTTCTTTGGGTGAAAGCCGTCCCAGATGTGTGATGGACAGGAGGCAGCTCACCAGAATCCAGCTGAGAAAGCGCTAAAGTGTTTGCAGGTAGACTTGAGTCCAGTGCTCCCTCTAAGCCAGGGGTGTCAAACATGTGGCCTGGGGGGGGGCAGATCAGGCCCTCGGGGGGCTGCAATCCGGCCCGCAAGGCCCTGGCTGTTTCCTGCTTCCTTTTCCAGCTCTGATGCTGCTGCTACATCACAGCTTACTTTACCAGACTCTCTCAATCACACAGAAGAGACAGATAGGCAAGCCTCTCCTGTGTGGCTGAGGCTCCTCCCCCTAGCCCTCCCCTGGGTCCTAGGCTCAGAACACTGAGCGTGAGATTTCTATAATGAATGTCGATAAATCAAAAGTAGGTTTGCAGCTTACAGGTACACACCTGAACAGCATATTAAGGATTGCAGCAACAGCACAGACATTTTGATGCAGCGATTCAGAGCAAGAAGTCTGTTATCAGAGACTGTTAAATAGGCAAAGTAGAAGAAGAAGAGGAGGAAGAGATTGGATTTATACCCCACCCTTCACCACCCAAAGGTGTCTCAGAGCGGCTTACAAACTCCTTTCCCTTCCCCTCCCCACAACAGACACCCTGTGAGGTGGGTGGGGCTGAGAGAGCTCTGACAGAAACTGCTCTTTTTCAACGACAGCTCTTGTCAGAACTATGGCTTGCCCAAGGCCATCCAGCAGGTGCAAGTGGAGGAGTGGGGAATCAACTGAGAGCCAGTTTGGTGTAGTGGTTAAGTGTGCGGACTCTAATCTGGGAGAACCGGGTTTGATTCCCCACTCCTCCACTTGCACCTGCTGATGTGACCTTGGGTCAGTCACAAGCTCTGGCACAGCTGTCCTTGAAAAAGAGCCGTTTGTGTCAGAGTTCTCTCAGCCCCACCCACCTCACAGGGTGTCTGTTGTGGGGAGGGGAAGGGAAAGGACTTTGTAAGCCGCTCTGAGACTCCAAGTGAAGGGCGGGGTATAAATCCAATCTCTTCTTCTCTTCTTCTTCTTCTTCTTCAAACCCGGCTCTCCCAGATTAGAGTCTGCGCACTTAACCACTACACCAAACTGGCTCAAGTATTGCAAGAGCGCTAGTGTTTTAAGCATGTTTTCTTTAAAGTTTAAATTTTTTAAAATTGTGTTTGTCTGTGTCCTTTATAAAGTTTATATCTCTGCTACCTGGAATTACATTTTATGACACACGTGGCCCCGGCCTGACAAAGTCCCATTAATATCAGATCTGGCCTTCATAACAAATGGGTTTGACAACCCTGCTCTAAGCTGTGGGGTCTTGTGAGCAAAAATTCTACTTTGTGAGCTACTGGCATTAAAGATGTGAGTGAGTGAGCGATTCGGCTACTGCATAAATTAGTTTGCTCCGGAGCCATCTGAGCTGAGACAAAAGTGTGTGAGCCAGAGGCTACAACACTGTGAACTAGCTCACACTAATTCAACTTAGAGGGAACACTGCTTGAGTCCAGTAGCAGCTGAGAGACCCACGGAATTTTCGGGGTATGAGCGTTCGAGAGTCAAAGCTACCTTCATGGGAGAGCTTTGCTTCTTGAAACCTTATGCCCCGAAAACATTGTTGGTCTCTAAGGTGCTAGTGAGCTTGAATCTCTTTTCTGGCAGACCGATACGGTACCCTCTCATTGCCAATGTACATGAGGATGAAGAAACGAGAACGATCCTAGAGTCTTTAAGAGAGTCTTGGGAGAGCTGTCACTCGCCGCTTCCGGTAAAGCAGATTTTGCGGCAGCAATGCAAAAACCTGCTAACTGCATTCACCAGACACCGAAGTGGTACAAGTGTCTATAACTGGGAGCATCTGTCTTAAGTTCAAGCTGCCTTCGGTCCTCCGGGGACCTTAATCTCCCTTCGGCCAGTGGCCCATTCTGCATCTAGCATTCGCTCGGCTGTTTTACCAAACCCATGTTGGGACAGAAATTTCCCTCTGCATTGCTTGCCGCCAGGGGTCATTTCCTGCAGGAGCGCACAGGAGCGGAGCTCCAGCAGTAAAGAGCCCAGGGGGCGGGCACATGCAACAAGCCTCACCCCCTGCTCCCAGCAGCCCTCAGTCAGAGCAAGAAGCAGCCAGGTAAGTTGCAGAGCCCGACCCCCAACCCCCCGGTCCAAAACAGTCCAGTGGCACCTTTAAGGCCAACTTTTATTCAGGTACAAGCTCTCCCTCCTCTGCGAGGGCAGATCTGCGCGTCCCCCCCCCCATAGCTAGCAATCCAAAGCAGTCCAGTGGCACCTTTAAGACCAAGTTTTATTCAGGTACAAGCTCTCCCTCCTCTGCGAGGACAGATCTGCACATTCCCCCCCCCCCAATAGCTAGCAATCCAAAACAGTCCAGTGGAGCCTGAGCAGTGGGTGTTGCCTTCTGGCACACTTCCGGTGATGCCAGGGTGTGTGGCATATGCAAATAAGTTATGCTAATGAGCCCCTGCACCTCTTTTTCTTCAAAATGACCCCTGCTTGCCGCTTTCACTTTGATCGATTGCCGGATTTTATGGCAGTGTCCAGACTGCATGCCGGTTTCACTTCGTTTGATCTCTCGGTTTTATGGTAACCGTCTGCATAGATTTATGGCCGTTTTACGGCCGTCCAGGGGTGACTCTGCACTCAGTAGGGCGTTGGCCTGGGGTATCTGAGTGTGGTTTTGAGCCGCATCTTTTTCTGTTCCAGTGTGGGTTTGGTAAAACAATGGAGCGAATGCTACATGCAGAATAGGCCATTGACTGGAGGGAGATGAAGGTTCCCCGAGAACTGAAGATGCAGAATGGGCCAAAGTTAACCAGGTGGGAATGAAAAACAACAGGAGAGCAAGATCCAATTTGGAGAATGTACGCGCCCTCTCCAGCTTCCTTGGCCTTACCTCCCGCGATTCCTCCTGATCCCTGAGGAAGATCCGCTGCTTCTTAGCGATGCTGTTGGCCCTGTAGAAATCCACCAGTTCGTTGATGGAGTCAAACTTCTCTTCCCAGAGGTGGTATTTGCATTTCTTCTCCCGGAGCACCTTGAAATGTAGGACTTGGTCTCCATAGCTGTCAAAAGAAAGGGGGTGGTGGTACAAGGCCGTGGGGTCAGTGATGGAGCTGAGGTTCCCAACCTCCAGGTGGCGCCTGGATTCTCCCAGAATTCCACCTTGTCTCCAGACTCCAGAGATCAGTTCCCTTGGAGAAACTGGATGCTTCAGAGCAAGGACTCTATTGGCATCGTACCCCACTGAGGTCCCTGTTCTCCCCAGGCTCCATCCCCAAATCCCCAGAAGTTTCCAACCCAGAGGTGGCAATCTGTTCCCCAGAGAGTGCTAAGATCAGGGTCCCAAAATCGCCTGGTCCTCCTGGGCCCTAAAGAAGCCAGGCTGGCGATGACGAGGGCCGGGGCCTTCTCAGTGGCGGCCCTGCACTGGTGGAATGAGCTCCCGAATGACATCAGGGCCTTGTGGGACCTTTGACAGTTCTGTAGGGCCTGTAAAACAGAGCTCTTCCGCCAGACCTTCAATTAGGGAGCCGCCCCTTCTAACACTGAGGCCCTGGCCTCAACACCAACATCAGTAGCCTGATCAGGTCACCACATCATAAGTCCACTGCGACTCAATGGAAATTTCCACCACTCCCATTTCATGCAATCTGGGAATTGTAATGTGTAGAAAGTGTGCCCTCTGGTGTTCCAACACATGTATCACTGCAGCTCCTTTCAACCCATCCCCTCTGGTGGTGCCGGGATACACGTACCAATTTGCAGACGCTTCCGATTTATTTCTGCCTTCCTGGATATTGGCACTGCCTTTTCGGCATACTTATCTAAAAAGGTAGCGTGTGCTTTTCACAATTTTGCCATTTTTTCCGTTCCCGAATGAGTGATGTTCGTGGGACACCAAAGTCAGGAAAAGGTGCAGGCTTACTTCACGGAGATGGAGAAGTCTCCAGGGCTGCTCTCGCTCTCCCGTATCAGGAAAGCCCCTCGGAACTGCTTTTTCAAGAGGATTTTTTCAGCCACCTGCCTGGAAATCCGGCCTGAGTACCACCTGCAGGGAGACAGTGTGGAGAGATGGAATATGGAGTCGGTGGCGGGAAATAAAATCAAGGGAGCCAATGCCTTGGCCTGAAAGTACAGATTGACAGGCAGAAATCAGCAAGTGAAGCTTTGCACAGAATGGAAACAGGGGAGGGGCTGTGACTAACTGGCAGAGCATGTTCTTGGCATGCAGAAGGTCCCAGGTTCAGTCCCCGGCAGCATCTCCAGTTAAAAAGGACCAGGCAGTAGGTGATGGGAAAGACCTCCACCTGAGACCCCGGAGACCTGTCAAGAGGGGCCGTGCTCAGTGGAAGAGCCTCTGCTTGGCATGCAGAAGGTCCCAGGTTCAGTCCCCGGCATCTCCAGTTAAATGGACCAGGCAGGAGGTGATGGGAGAGACCTCTGCCTGAGACCCTGGAGAGCTGTAAAGAGGGGCTGTGGCTCAGTGGCAGAGCATCTATTTGGCATGCAGAAGGTCAATCCTTGGCATCTCCAGCTAAAAGAACCAGGCAGGAGGTGATGGGAAAGATCTCCGTCTGAGACCCTGGAGAGCTGTCAAGAGGGGCTGTGGCTCAGAGGTAGAGCCTCTGCTTGGCATGCAGAAGGTCCCAGGTTCAATCCCTGGCATCCCCAGTTAAAAAGATCCAGGCAGGAGGTGATGGGAAAGACCTCCGCCTGAGACCCTGGAGAGCAGCTGCCAGTTTGAGTAGACAAAACTGATTTTGATGGACCAAAGCTCTAATTCAGTAGAAGAGAGCTTCATGTGTTCCAATAAAACAACTGCAGAGCACATTATTAAAAGCGTGGGAAGAGAGGCCGGTGAAACTCTGGCATCCGACTTGGCAGAAGATCGGTGGGCAGCGTGGTGCAGTGGTTAGAGGGTCAGACTAGGATCTGCGAGACCCAGTTTCAAATCCCCACACCACCCTGAAGCGGTTAGATCAGGGCCCAGCGGGACCTATTACAGTTCCCCGGGGGCCCGTAAAACGAAGCTGGTTGAGGCAGCGGATGTCTATGTATTCCATCTACTCGGCCTCCCATGCTGAAGCTCTCCATCCGACACGGCCCATCTGAGAAGACTTTATTTTACGGCCTGGATGCTCCAGTTTTCCAAGAACGCTCTATTTCTAATTTATGGTGCCATCTGCTCTCAACATAGTTTCTTGTTTTTAAGTGTCTTAACTATTTATTTGAAGAAGAAGAAGAGAAGAAGAGATTGGATTTATACCCCGCCCTTCACTCAGAGTGGCTTACAAACCCCTTTCCCTTCCCCTCCCTACAACAGACACCCTGTGAGGTAGGTGGGGCCGAGAGAGCTCTTTTGAGGACGGCCCTCGAGAGAACAGCTCTGGCAGAACTTGTGACTGACCCAAGGTGACACCAGCAACTGCACGGGGAGGAGTGGGGAATCAAACCCGGTCCTCCCGGATTAGAGTCCCCGCTCCTAACCACCACACCAAACTGGCTCTATGCTACACCAAACTGTTATACCTGTTTTAATTATTATTTTGGAACGGTGGCTGTAATCTGCCCCGAGCCTGCTTGCAGGGAGGGCAGGGTATACGTTGAAGGAGATAAATAAATAATAAATAATAAAGCTCTCCGGGAGACTCTCTCTCTCAGCCCAACCTACCTCACGGGGTTGTTGTGAGAACGAAACAGAGACGCGACAATGGCCAGGAAAGATGGGATAACACAGTGAGGTTGGTTGGTATCTACGTCAGGGAACCCAAATCCCAGAGTGGGAAACTATTCAAAAAGAATTAAAATAAGACTTCCCTTTACATCTGTTCTTTGGGGGGCGGCTTGCCTTGGCCATTGCCGCGGCACAGGAAACAGGATGTGGCTTAGCTGAACCACTCAGTCATGCAGAAGAGAGAAGACGCTTGCAAAAGCGAGGCCTGATGTACACAGGGTCGGCTCCAGGTTGGGGGGAGAGGCGGTCCAGTCCCCCCCCCCTCAAAATGCCACCAACGTCCATTCTCATCTGTCCTCTTTGGTGTAGTGGTTAGGAGTCATTTTGGTGTAGTGGTTAGGAGGGTGTCTGTTGTGGGGAGGGGGAAGGGAGAAGGAGATTGTAAGCCGCTCTGAGAGGGTGGGGTATAAATCCAAATCTCTTCTCTTCTTCTTCTTCAATTGACTTTGCAGATTTAAAAACAGGGACTGCTTTGGCAACAGCTGCCACCACGGCACGGCATGACTGAAGGTAAAGCCGCGTGCGTATGCAAGAAAAGAATTTCTTAAACAGTATGTTCATTTTAAAAGGCGTCCTGTTGAGCGGAACTTCTGCCTGAGATGTCAAGGAGTTACTGTCAGAGTCACGCATCACCTCAGTCCAGGGGTCATTTCCTGCAGGAGTGCACAGGAGCAGAGCTCCGGCAGTAAAGAGCCCAGGGGGCGGGCACATGCAACAAGCCCCACCCCCTGCTCCCAGCAGCCCTCAGTCAGGGCAAGATGCAGCCAGGTAACTTGCAGAGCCCTCCCCGGCCCCCCAGTCCAAAACAGTCCAGTGGCACCTTTAAGACCAGGTTTTATTCAGGCACAAGCTCTCCCTCCTCTGCGAGGACAGATCTGCACGTCCCCCCCCCACCAATAGCTAGCAATCCAAAACAGTCCAGTGGAGCCTGAGCGGTGGGTGTTGCCGTCTGACATACTTCCGGTGATGTCAGGGGGTGTGGCATATGCAAATGAGTTATGCTAATGAGCTCCTGCACCTCTTTTTCTACAAAATGACCCCGGCCTCAGTCCCTGATATTTTGTGGCTGACTCAGCCTTCTGTGGCAGCCATGTTGTGGGGGGCGCCAACCAGTGTTCCCTCTAAGCTGAGTTAGTGTGAGCTAGCTCACAGGTTTTTAGCCTCCAGCTCACAGATTTTTGTCTTCGCTCAGGAAGGATGGCTCCAGAGCAAACTAATTTGTGCAGTAGCCAAATCGCTGGCTCATAACTTTAATGCCAGCAGCTCACAAAGTAGAATTTTTGCTCACAAGACTCCACAGCTTAGAGGGAACATTGGCGCCAACTACACTGTGTCGAAAGTTCCCAAGGTGTCCTTGGGCTCCCAAAGTTTGGGGACCCTTGCTGTAAACGTTCCTTCAAGTGCCTCTCCCATCAAAACGGCCTCCAGAGCTATCTCCCATGATTCAGTGGGAGGCTGTGGGGGACCGCCTCTTGAGTTGGGGGGGTGGGCCCTCTGTCAGGGGTTGGGCCTCCATGTGTGGTCACCCGTGTGGACTTCTGACATGACTGCCTTGCACATACAACAAAGGGAGATATCTTATACCTCCGGGAGAGTCAGATGTTCCTTGAACATGGGAAAGGACTGTCCCATCTAGCATGCCACTAGGGTTACCAGCCTCCAGGTGGTGCCTGGAGATCTCTTGCTTTTACAGTTGGTCTCCAGGTGATACAGATTGGGTCATGTGGAGTAAACTGCTGCTTTGGAAGGTGGAGGAGGAGGAAGAAGAAGAAGAGGAAGAGTTGGGTTTATACCCCGCTCTTCACTCAGAGTGGCTTACAATCTCCTTTCCCTTCCTCTCCCCACAACAGACAACCTGTGAGCCAGTTTGGTGTAGTGGTTAAGTGCACGGACTCTAATCTGGGAGAAACGGGTTTGATTCCCCACTCCTCCACCTGCACCTGGCTGGATGACCTTGGGCAAGCCGTAGTTCTGGCACAGCTGTCTTTGAAAAAGAGCAGTTTCTGTCAGAGCTCTCTCAGCCCCACCTACCTCACAGGGTGTCTGTTGTGGGGAGGGGAAGGGAAAGGAGTTTGTAAGCCGCTCTGAGACACCTTTGGGTAGTGAAGGGCGGGGTATAAATCCAATCTCCTTTTCTCTTCTCCTTCTTCTGTGAGTTAGGAGGGGCTGAGAGAGCTCTTTCGAGGACTGCCCTTGATAGAACAGCTTTGAAATATCTTGTAACTGACCCAAGGTCACCCAACTGGCTTCATGTGGAGGAGATGGGGAATCAAACCTGCTTCTTCCAGATCAGAGTCCACCGCTCTTAACTGCTACACCAAGTTGAAGTCCCGCCCCTCCCCAAACCCCACCCTCCTCGGGCTCCACCCCCAGGTATTTCCTAACAAGGACCCGGCAACACTACCTGCCGCCTTCTTTGAGTGAACCTCGCTCCAGTGCTTCCCGTTCCACACACAGAAATGCAAGGTGTGGGATCATCCTTCATGTGGAGGAAACCGCCAAGGGGCAGAAGTTTCTCCTCATGATTAACTTGTGGGTCAACCTGTTCTTAAACGTGAGGCTGAGGAGTCGGGTTGCCACCTCCAGGTGGGATTGGCGATTTCCCGCTAGTGCAGTTGCTCTCCAGGTGACACAGATCGGCCCCCCTGAAGAAAATGGCCACTTTGGAGGGTGGACTGTATGGTATCGTGCCCTGCGGGAGTCCCTCCCCTCCCCAAACCTTGCTTTCCTCAGGCTCCAAACCGCCCCCCCCCTCAAATCTCCAGGCAGGGCTATTTTTGGGCAGGAACGCACAGGAACGGAGTTCCGGCTGGCTCCCAAGTTGGCCACGCCCAGCAGGAACTCATTAGCATAACAGGCCACACCCAACAGCAGAAACTCATTAGGATTATTGGCTACATTAGGGGTGTGTGGCCTAACATGCAAAGGAGTTCCTGCTCCAAAAAAAGGCCCTGGGTTTTGACAACAAACAAGGTAAACAGAATAAGAAGCAAAAGGTGGATGTGGCTGGATAACCACACTTCTGGTAACATGGGGGTGTGGCCTAATGTGCCAATGAGTGGTGCGGTCAGGGTGTGGCCTAATATGCTAATGAGTTTTGCTGTTGGGTGTGGCCTATTATGCTAATGAGTTCCTGCTGGGCTTTTTCTACAAAAAGAGCCCTGTCTCCAGGTATTTCCTTACCCAGAATTGGCAACCTGTATTGATAAAGATAGTTATCCCTGTATGGAACAGAAGTGGTCTTAGCTAGCAGCTTCAAGATGGAGTTCCTCAGGCCTTTTCCCCCTCACTGAGCTATGGGGGCTCCAAGATGGAGCAGGTGAAGGCCTTTCTCAGCCTGAAGGTGTGGTGATGGGGGTAAGTATCACCTGCTGACCTTAGGAAGGTAGCCCCTTAGAGAACCAGGAGAGGCCGACCAGGAAGAGACACCCGTGGCCCTCGCAGAACACCAGAACCTACTTACGGGTGTGGCTTCATTTTGATGTAGTTTTTGGGGATGAATCCTTCTAGGCCAGAGAGCTCCGCTTTGTACCAGTTCTGGTCGTCTTCCATATTCAGGATCTGGAGTGAAAAAAAGAACAGGTGTTCTGAGAAGACTGTGCCGCCAGGGAACTTGAATAGAGATGGGCCGTGGCTCAGCAGTTGAGCCTCTGCTTGGCATGCGGAAGGTCCCAGGTTCAATATCCAACATCTTCAGCTAAAAAGGACCAGGCACGAGGTGATGGGAAAGACCTCCGCCTGAGACCCTGGAGAGCTGTAAAGAGGGGCCGTGGCTCAGTGGCAGAGCCTCTGCTTGGCATGCAGAGGGTCCCAGGTTCAACCCCCGGCATCTGCAGTTAAAAAGGACCAGGCAGGAGGTGATGGGAAAGACCTCCGTCTGAGGGTCAGGTCACACGGACATTTAGTGCGGGCTTCGCTGCTGATCCCTCGCGCATTAAAGTTTCCTGTTCATATTGGCAAACCCGCCTCCTGCACTGAAGCGGGCTGAGTCCCGCGGTTTCCGATCTTTTTATCCGCGTTTTCTGACACCCGTTGGAACAGGTGTTTTTCCGATATCTCACGCTTTGTGTCCGCAGTTTTGGTATCTGGACAGCAATCCGCCGTGACCGCACTACCCTCCCCCACCCTTTGTGTTTCCGGTTTAAGTTATGCGCATGTGCAAACAGGCACTAACTTTTATTTTGGTCTTTTTAGTTTGTATGTATGCCCAAGCGCATGTTTAACCCCGTTTTCTTTCAAGCCGTAATTCGCCCATGCGCATGGGAAAACAAGTGCATGCACAGGTTTTTTTTTTAAATCCCCGCGCCGCTGTGGGGATGGCGCGCTGTGTGATCAGTACTTTGCGCGAGTGAAGCGGAAGACAGAGGGACCGTCTGACCACCTCCAAGTGATATAAAATGTTGCGGATAGAAGAACTGCAGGAAAACTAGCGCTGTAAGAGGTCCGTGTGACCGCGGCCTGAGACCCCTAACCCTGGAGAGCTGTAAAGAGGGGTTGTGGCTCAGTGGAAGAGCCTCTGCTTGGCATGCAGAAAGTCCCAGGTTCAATCCTCGGCATCTGCAGTTAAAAAGGACCAGGCAGGAGGTGATGGGAAAGACCTCCACCTGAGACCCTGGAGAGCTGGCAAGAGGGGCTGTGGCTCAGTGGCAGAGCCTCTGCTTGGCATGCGGAAGGTCCCTGGTTCAATCCCCTGCAGCATCTCCAGATAAAAAGGACCAGGCAGGAGGGAATGGGAAAGACCTTTGCCTTGGGACCCAGGAAAGCAGCTGCCAGTCTGGGTAGACAATACTGGTTTTGAAGGACTAAGGGTCTGATTCAGTATGATGCAGTCTCATGTGGTCATATGAGATAACGCTCGAAGGTGAAATGTGGACAAAATGGTCTTCTGCTGAGTCTGATCCTCGGTCGGTCAAGGTCAGGATTGTCTGCTTGGACTGACAGAGGCTCTCTTTCACAACCTGTATTAATTAATTAATTAATCTGGGACCTTCTGCATGCCAGTCATGTGTTCTAACTACTGAAACAGTGTGGTGTAGTGACTAAAGTGTCCGACGAGGATCTGGTAGACCCAGGTTCGGATCTGCACTCTGCTATGGAAGCTTCCTGGGTGACCTAATAGGGTTGCCAGCTCCAGATTGGGAAATTCCTGGAGATTTGGGGGCAGTGCCTGCAGAGGGCGGGGTTTGGAGAGACGAGGGACCTCAGCAAGGTATAGTCACATCGCACCCACCCTCCGAAGCAGCCGTTTTCTCCAGGGGGCAGCTGATCTCTGTTGTCTGGACATCACTCGTAATTCCAGGAGATCTCCAGGTCCCACCTGGAGGCTGGCAACCCTAGCTGCTTATGTGCTTTTGCAGAAGGCAAAACAGATTCCCCCATCCCATCCCGGGATCAGGTTTGGGTGAGGCACTTAAATAATCCTGGGGGTGTGCGTGGAAACTTGACGGCACTCACATAACGCACGCACCCGGAGATGTCCAAGACCAGATCGAGCATTTTCCTGTATGCAAAGAAGGGGATCTCCTGTTGAGCACCCCGGTTTTGCATGGGGAAGGTCTCAGATTTGGTCCCGGCAGTGAAGCAAACCAGACGTAGGAGGAAGTATCTTTAACCCCTTCCAGAGCAGGCGTGGGCGACGAAACAGCCAGTGTGGTCCGTCCGTCCATCCGTCTGTCTATCTATCTATCTATCATCTATCTATCTATCATCTATCTATCATCCGTCTGTCTATCTATCTATCTATCATCTCATCTATCTATCATCTCTCATCTATCTATCTATCATCTCTCTATATATATCATCTCGTATCTATCTATCATCTATCTCTCTCATCTATCTATCATCTCTCATCTATCTCTATCATCTATCTATCATCTCTCATCTATCTATCTATCATCTCTCTATATATATCATCTTTTATCTATCTATCTATCATCTATCTATCTATCATCTCTCTACATATATCATCTATCTATCACCAAACTGAGAGCCAGTTTGATGTAGTGGTTAAGTGTGCGGACTCTAATCTGGGAGAACCGGGTTTGATTCCCCACTCCGCCACTTGCACCTGCTGATGTGACCTTGGGTCAGTCACAAGCTCTGGCACAGCTGTCCTTGAAAAAGAGCCGTTTGTGTCAGAGTTCTCTCAGCCCCACCTACCTCACAGGGTGTCTGTTGTGGGGAGGGGAAGGGAAAGGAGTTTGTAAGCCGCTCTGAGACTCCAAGTGAAGGGCGGGGTATAAATCCAATCTCCTCCTCCTCCTCCTATCATCTATCTATCTATCTATCTATCTATCTATCTATCTATCTATCTATCTATCATCATCTATCTATCTCTATCTTCTATCTATCATTATCTATCTTCTGTCATCTATCCATCCATCCATCTATCTATCTAGTGCGGCTCATACGGCTATCACCTGAAACTAGAACCCAAAGAAAATATTTTAAAAGACCTTACTCAGTATTATTTCCTCTTATATTTGATTATTGTGCCTAAGAATTTTGCCACGGAGAGGGTGACACAATCACTGGTATCCGATAGTCGCCATGACACCGGGTCTCGCCCATTTAGAAATTCCACATCTTTAAGTAAAGGGGTGACCAAAGTAGCCCTCAACTCATTGAATACGGGGCACTCCATAATCATATGTTCGATGGTTTCGATTTTATCTCATGAGCATCTGCATGTTCTATTAGAGTATGTAACTCTATTATATCTGCCCTTCAAAACCGCCGAGGGAAGAGC